TACTGTGCATTGCAGTTGACCCTCTTTGGTCCAAATGAATTGCACAGATTTGAAACTTTTATCTGGAATGGATAGGAGACACTTCTTGTTCATGCATGTGGCAGAAAACTCACTGGATTTATGGTTAACATTTCAAGTTTGGGGCACAGAACTACAAGGGATATACATACAGCTTTGTCAGATTGTAGAGTCCCCTGAAAGCGTTTCCTGACACAATGCTGATGTTATTGTTTTGAAGAAACCTGTGAAGGTAATGATGGTAGTACAGCATTAAAAATAGTGTCCACAGTCTGGACACAAAATATCTACCATGAAAATGTTTCATTTTAGTTTAGAATCTTGATTACACATTCAAGATCAAGCCATCCCAGAATACTTCTCATAACAAGGAAAACTATATTGTTGATGGGAAAAATTATTTCCTCTCAGCTACAGTGAGAACTACAGCTAAGCTCAGAGGAAACAGAAAAGTGTGAGGGGAGTTGTAGATAGTGCACAAGTTTTCATGATTGTCACAGGGCATTATGGCTTGTTTGATCATCATGACATCTGAACCAAATGTAGGGTTGGTTGTTCTGATGGTTAACAAGCCACCACCAGCCCCCCGTAGGGCCCATAGGGAAATACCCCGGATGTGAGCAGTGGTGCAGCTAGGAGTAGACCATGGGTCCAGAGTCCAGGACCCAACCCTCAACCCTCTTCACAACTGACCTGCCAGAAAATAGAAAGTGCAGGAAGATATTACATTTTATTTTAATTATGTTATTCCTGTAGCACTATGATAGTGCTATGACTTAAGTTAGTTTAGAATGAAACTGCACATGTTCAGAGTATTTATTTACTTATTTATTTTAACTAGGGTTGGCATACAGGTTTGGGATTGTTATTGTTCTAACGTATTTGTGGGGGGCAGGATGGGAGCTGGGATAGGATGGGAGCTCATTCACATGCAGCTAGCAGTGAACTGAGGTCCTCTAGTCCTGCCTTTGCAGCCAAAGCACCTGTTCCAGGTGCTCCCTTCAAACAAACCAGAAAATGCATCTTTCCTTCTGATCTGCACCTAGGCTAGGTAAAGAGGCTTAGCCTAAGGCTTTGGCTATTGTCACACTGTCTTCTACATCTTTCTGCCCCTATTGCAGTCCTCATCACTTTGCTATGGGCAAAGATTAGCTTCTGACCAATAAGTCTGGGAAGACTGCACCTAGAGATGTGAGGTGTTCACTTCCCTTCTAGCAATATTTGTTAGTTGAATGGCCTTATATTTTTCATCAGCTGGAAACATTGGACTGAACCCATTATAAAATAGGTGGGAGTAGGATTTTTGCTCTTCACTGAGAGATTCCCATCATGGATCTCTTCATGGCCCAGCTCAAGTTAAGGACTGGCATACCTACCACACATCCAGGTTGCAAAAGCAGCCCATGATATTGGGCCTCACCACAAGTGAGCCTGTGATTCCTGCTACCCCATCCTTGTTCTCCCCATCATATGGACTAGGATGTGGTATTGGTCAGCAACTGAAATCTATGCCCTATTTTGAGATTCATTCCCTATGCCTGCAAAAGTCTTGTGAGCTATAACCAAAGGAAAAAAATCATTTAAGTTTGTATGAAGGTCTTGGTATGCATTCCCATCCTGCCCCATACTGTGTGGACAACAACATAGTCTTGCGTCTCATTAACAAGTCTATCATGGGATAAGTTGCATCTTGCCATTAGATGCATCTCTCTCTCTCTGCACACACACACCATTAAATTCTTTAATAGGTATGTAAATAAGGACTTATTTCAGAAGTAGTCACATTTAATTCTAATTTAATCATGATTAAATAAAAAACTTATTCAAATAGGGTCATGATGAAAGACTACCCATCCATATGTAAATTGTTACAATGTCTAACTGAACTTAGATTTACTTCTTTTATTTTACTGCTGCTTCCTAAATGGTACTTTTAATAGGATAGATTGTAAGATCTGCCTTAGAATAAGCATACTGCAAATAAGGAGTCTGAATAACTAATGTTGACCATTAAGAGCTTAGGCTTCAAACACTTATTCAACCACTACAGTTCTCCTAGGAGTTTTCAAATTCAAATCTCATCTCTGTGAGTACATCTTGTCAATTTCAGTATGGTTTATATGTATTAGATTCACAATTCTGTAGTGTGGTACCATGGACACAGAAGTAAGTCCTATTGAATATAGGCTTGCTTTCAAGTAAGTGGGTAAAGATTGCTGCCTCAGGGTGAGTTCACACCATTAGTTCAACAAAAGGAAAAATGGAATAGAGCTATTCATTCCTTAGCTGTTGGAAAATTGTTCTGCAGCAAGCCAGACATTAAAATAATGAACCCATAGTTCTGTTTAATCACAGGAGAAATATAAGCAGTGAACTCACCCTTAAGTACTACATCATAAAAATGATGCAATAGTTTGATATTTGAAATTAAAGTGCTGTCTTACAAGTATTTAAGATCCTGATATTTTTTGAAACCATTGGCCACAAGCTTTCCCAGCAGATTCCTTTGTAGAGACCTGCAAACACGAACAAACAAATAAAATGAATGGGAAGTAGCATACACCACAGGCCTTCTAAACATAAATACGTCTGAGTTAGCCTCCATTTTAATGACACTAAGTCACACAATTCATAGGCATTTTCATAAAATAAATTACCTCACAGTAACTGATTTCATTGTTTGTTCTACCTTAGTGCAAACCACTGTAGGAGCAGAAATGTTAAAGAATGGGATACAAATGATTGAAATAAATGTTATCTTGTACATAAAGTACAAGAGTGTACATGGTTGTACGTCTGGTTTTTCCAACAGTAACACTTCCAGTCACCTCCATGGTACTCTGCCTAATGGGAAAACAGGTGGGAAACAGCTTGTCCACCCTTTCCTCTTTGCTGTTCTGCTGATGTTAGCTTATTTCATTAGTAAAGCTAGAGTGATCCTCTGCATATACTTCACTACCAAATGCAACAGGTTAAGAGCACACAGTCCTAACCATGCATAGGTTTGCACTCAAAATCACTCACACTAAGAGTGATCAAGAAAGGTAACATTTTCCTCCTGTTTCTGTAGTCCCTGTCAGTGTGAGCCACTGCTTCTTTTCCTACCACTGCTACACTAAATACAAAATAATTGCTGAGCACTGACATGTTCATGGGGTTGAAGAATATTGAAGAACATCACCTTTCAGATTGTGTGAATTAACGTTAAGAATTTTCTGGAGTTAGTTGTGTGATGTGTACAACAAGTAACTGTGAAGAACCCCAGTATTCTTTACATTCAGTAGCTCTTGAAGCCAAGTCTTTGTTTACTTTTTCTGCACTTAACCAAAAGGAACCCTAGAGGGCCTCACAGTACTGCGAATATTTTGTCAAAGAAGGATGAGATTTTCTTAAAGCATCTTGTTATTGTGGTGCATGAGACAATTACTCTTTCATGACTGGAGTGAGTTTACAGTACACTCAGCACTAAAGGAGCATACAAAAATTAATCTAGTTGTGTGTAAAAAGAACAAGCCCAAATTAAACAATTACAATCTGAATCTTTGCTCATATAGAAAATAATACTTTTAATCACATGTTTTCAAAGGGAGGAAGTCACCAAAACCATTGCCAAAGTTCTCTGGTCCTTGATTATCAGAAAATTCCTATTTTCCTTGAAGCTGGTGTGTGTGTGTGTGTGTGTGTGTGTGTTCGTTCAACAGACTGATTGACAGCACAGTCCTATGCATATGTATATTCTGAACTAAGTCCTAGTGGCCTGGTTTGAATACCATTACAGCCCATGGGTTGTTTAACACATGGGTTGTCAGAGACAAACGGGAGCACACAAGCACACTATCTCTGTCATGCTGGTCACTTCTATTTTCACTTAACAAGCTGTTCATATGACGTTTGTGTGATATCTGAACCCAGTTATTCTTGGTTGTTGACAACCCAGGGTCAACCTAGAAACCTAGAATACATTGTTGCATTACCTCTGAATTGTTTAACTCCTAAGTGTCCCAGAGTGTTCCAGCTAAGATACATGCTTCCAACTTATGAATGGACCAATCATAGGTGCTTAATTGAAAACAGAAGGGATAAGCTCATTGGAGATGGGATGCACATTAAACAAGACAGGTTGCTTTTGCACATGAACCAGGTCATTGAGATACTTCCAATGTTCTGCACTTCATGTTTACACTAGTTTTGACAAATTATTTTGCTTTTTCTTTTGTTCAGGGGATAATGTCAAACAAACTTTGTATTCACAGTGTCTCAGACAAATGGTTCTCTGTTTTAGCTCTAATGAGCTGTATTTAAGGACACAAACATATAAGGAAAGCTCAGCTGAACCAGACCAATCAAGACCATCATCCTGATTTCCATCTCAACCAAACAGAATTTTATGGGAAACCCATCAGCAGAACATATGGGCAACATCCATTTCCCATCATTGTTCCTTAGCAACTGGCATTCAGAAACATGCTGGCTGTAATCCTGGAGACAACATATTGCTATCATGACTAATAGCCACAGATAGCCCTCTCCTTCCTGAATTTGTCTAATCCCCTTTCGGAGCTATTTAAGTTGGTGGCTCTCACTACAGCTTGTGGCACCAACTTTCATGCCACCCATTTGCCTTGGGATGCTTCGAGCTGAGGGATGTTTTATACAATCACCCTGTCTTATCCATAGAATTTTAGTGTGCATGCACCCTTCCTAATTGTGTCTTTCATTTGCAACCGTACTCTGCTTTTCCCTTCTTTTTCCTCACCAGAGAAAATCTGTTAAGGAAAGATGGAATTGCTGCACAATGTTTTCTTATTGGTTACTCATGGAGCAGTCTGTCTGGAAACACCCTTAGGCAGGGTTCAGATTCACCTTGAAGCAACAGCTGAGCAACTCTTTTTTTGCCCCCATGACCTGAATTCTCTCACTCTTTTAGGAATCATTACAAAAGATTTAAAATAGTTTAGATATTTATAGCTTAAAAACAAGGCATTTAGCAACATCATGGTTTTCTAGAAAGGTATTAACACTTCTAGGTAGTAGAGAATGTTTAAGGAGAAAAGAGTGTGCAGTACATGAACTGGAACTATCTAGTCTAGCTTTTGCCAGGAGACTAAATGCATCTTTGTTGGCAGGGCAGTGAGAAGGACCTTCCCCATATTGTTGCCAATGCAGGTCACACACTGCTTGCACCTAAACCCTGACAAAACAGGGCTCTATGTTTGTTTCAGACATAGAAACTGACTCAGGCTGTTTGATTATCCATCCTGGTATTGTTGACTGAGACCAGCTTTGCACAACTGCAACATGGTTAACAAGATACATGGCTTCTAAACCCAGATATTCCAGTAAGGGCAACTACAGAAATCCTGTCTGTATGTGAGCAGCATGCATGGCCAAGGGAAAAAAAACACCACCACCACCACAACTTATTTCCATCTCTGATCATGCAAACCAGCCTTCTGACCAGCAGAGATTTTCCCAGATTCTTCCTTCTCTCTAACTGGAGATGCTGCGGATTAAACCTGGGACTGTCCTTGTGCAAGGATGTGATTGATCACTGAGCTACACATCAGCACATTCTTTCTTTACTTACATCATAGTTATATTTGAGGACACTGAAGGCACAGTATGCAAACCAGCATCGTCGCAGTCTAGCTCTAACCCCCGACACAAACACTGTGTTGGCAAAGACTCAACCACTGGATATCATGGATGGGGCAGATGTTGCAGTGAAAAAGAGGAGAGAAGACAGAAATGGTAAAAGACAATAATACTGCTTAGTATAGTAAAACCATTAATTGCCTTCTCCGATATATACTTATCCTTGAGATCCTCTTCAGTGGATGGTCTGGTTCCCCCACCTCACAACACACACAGGAAAATAGCAGGCATGGGAGAGCAACATTACAGCAAGAGAAGAGCATCCCCTTCCCACAACATCATGGTCCTAGTTCAGCTCTAGCTTCTCTGCACTGGATCTTTGAAAAAGAAAAATCAGGCAAACCACAAGCTGCCCCAGATGGCTCGTCATATCATGCTAACATGCCAAGGGCTTATATATAAACATGTACAAACTTACAGTTCATATTTCCTTACAGAGATCTTTTTTTCACTTGAGCAATGTGGTTTCAATTAATTGTAAGCTAGATAGTTTCTTCAGCTATATACTGCAAAGTCTTTCTAAAACAGAATCAAAATGTGCACGTATCTATTGAAACTTCATTGTGTTTTACTTTCAGTGGCTGATGGCATTCTTTCAGAAATTAATGGTTGTAGCTTTTCCTATTACACAATTTAATTCTCTTTGTACTCACAGCACTCATCAGTCTCCACTTCAGAAGCATCTTGGGAAATCCTTATATTGTAAATTGCATCCAGCTGTTGAGACCATCCACTATTATCACCTAAAAATATACAGAAGAAATATTTAAATTCTTGTTGTTTTAAGCTATACAAACTCCCAATATATGCTAGTGTTGCTTTCAGACAGAGGATGGCTAGCACTGCCAAAATGAAGGTTGTGTGCAGCAATTCCATCTTTTTCTCCTTAATGGATTTTCTGTGGGAAGAAAAAGAATGCAAAAAGCAGTGGGGAAATGTGAGATCTTTACAATCTGGACTCTTCATGAAATTCTGTGAATGAGGTCAATCAAGTATACCATAAAAGCCACGTCTGGAAATCTAGCTACAGCGTTGGTATGAGAAAAGTCTTCCTCCTTGAACCTTCTTTGCGAGAACAGCTAGAAGGCTCAATCCAACTAAAGGTCTTCCAATCAAGTGTAACTGAAGCAAGTAGGAAATGTGCAGGAAATGTGCAGAGCTGCTGCTTTGTACCCCAATACAGACTTTCAATCTCTTTCTACAGACAGAGACAAAGCAATCTCAACTGTTCCTGCTGGTCATTCCCCTCCTTTCTCTTAGTTTGGCAAGCAGGTTTCAGGCATGCCACTAATTGAAATTGCACCCATTTTGATTTCACGGCCAGGAACATGCATTGCAGGCACCCTGTGCAGATAAATTCTTCTGAGGGGGAGCACTGAAACAGGAACAGCATATTATAGTCATAAATAACATGCCAATATCTGATTGTACAGATTTGGTATCATACACTGATTAGATTAGACTAGAAGGCATTTCCCCAGCACTGCCAAAAATTAATAGCAATAATAATGGGCTTCTGACTTCAGTAGACTAGCAAGCAACTTAGATTCCCGAACTGTTATTTTTTCCCATAAAGACTTTTTTTGCTGATGGGTTGTTTCCAATTAGTAGAAAAGCTTTGCATGACCAAAGTGACCTAAGGGCAGAAATCTTCTTCTGTTTGTGCAAGACTTCAAGATCATTTTATGGACACATTAAATATGTTTGTGTTGTTAAATAATTTAATAAAACATAGCAGGATGGATCTTGTAGCAGGATACAGTCAATAAAACACTTTGGCATAACTGCTCAAAGAACTTCAGCTATTGGCAGTGCAAAAATGTAAGTGGTAATAATAATATTAATAATATAACACAACCCATATCATTGCAAGCATCATCAGTCAAATCAACATTAATAATCATCATCAAAAATCAACCTTAATAACCCAAACAAACAAATCAAAGCCAAGCTGTAGTCATTAAACAATCAAAGCCCAGTTAAACAGCATAGGGGTTGACTTTGTGCTGAAATGTGCTGAAATAAAACCAATGTTGGTGTCAACTGAGCCTCTGGAGGCAGGTATTCCATACCAAGCTGCTACAGCCAAGGTGCTGTCTTCCGCATTTCCCCATAATGCACAGCTCCTAATGGTGGGATGCAGATGTGAGCCACCTTGTCAGCCATTTAGATGTAGGTAGGAAAGGCACTTCCTCAAGGGTCCTCCTTTCCTCAAGGACTCCACCTTCTCACCAACTACTTCTCAATCTTCCTCCTGTTTCTCATTGCTACAGTTTCCTTGCTTGACAGGCATAGAGCCATTGAACAAACATTGCTCCTTATCCTCACCACCAGCATTGTCTGGGCCAGAGGGAAAGCAGGTGAACAAGCAAGTTGCAATGATGGTGAAGAAGAACAAATCCAGTGGGCTCTATAAGTGGGCACTTGCGGAGATGTGGGCCCTAGGTTGGCGCCCAGCCATACTTACCTTTGATGCTGGCTTCTCAGCCATTCAGGGGTCGAATGTTATCTTGAACATGTTATGGCCTGGATCCTACCTGTTCATCCTCCTTGTTTCTTATACTATGCCTCAATCCCACTACTATATATATATGACTGAACCGAGGCATCAAGTTAAAATGCTTGGATTTTCTTGTGTAGTATATAAAGAGGGGAACTGGTTTTCTGCCAAGGTTGAATTCTCTTACTATACATTTGCCATAATCTGTAGTTCTGCCCCAAGGAAATAGGCTTTGAGGAGCTATGCTAGCCCAGTGCTATTAAATCCAAGCTTTCACAATTATAACAACATCCTCTTCCCAGAGTATAAATCCTTGTTCATCCCCATAGTATCCTTCAGAAAATTAATAGACCAGTTGTGATGGTGATAAAGGTAAAGGTAAAGGTTTCCCCTTGACATTAAGTCCAGTCATGTCTGACTCTAGGGGGCGGTGCTCATCTCCGTTTCCTAGCCGAGGGAGCCAGCGTTTGTTCACAGACAGTCTCCATGGTCATGTGGCCAGCATGACTAAACACCGAAGTGCACAGAATGCTGTTACCTGCCCACCAAAGTGGTACCTTTTTATCTACTTGCATTTGCATGCTTTCAAACTGCAAGGTTGGCAGGAGCTGGGACAGAGCAACAGGAACTCACCGCGTTGTGCAGATTCGAACCGGCAACCTTTCGATCAACCAGCCCAGCAGCACAGCGGTTTAAACCACTGCGCCACCTGCAGTCCTGTGATAGGACGCAATAAAAACTAACTGAGGCATGGTGAGAAGGAAGGCACTTAGGATATAAGGACATAAGAACTTAAGAGAAACCATGCTGGATTGGTCCATATATGCAGTGGCAAACCAGCTGCCCACAGGATTCCTTAAGCAGGATGGGTGCAAGACCTCATCCTGCCCAAGCTCCTCAGCAACTGGTGTATGCAGGGATGCCACGTCTGGTGAAGGTGGTAGCACATAGCCAGCAAAGCTAATAGCCACTGATAACCCCCTCTCTTATGAATCTGTCCAATCCCCTTTTAAAGCCATCCAAATTGGTATCCATTGCCACCTCCTGTGGCAGTGAATTCCATAGTTTAACTATATCTGTTCCTTTTATCTGTCCTAAACCCCCCACCAATCAGCTTCATGAGATGACCCTAGGTTTGAGAGTTATGGAAGAGGGAGAAAAATCTCTTCTTTTCCACTTTCTCTGTGTCATGCATTATTTTAAACACTTCTGTCATGTCTCCCCTTACTCACTTTATACCATGTCAGAAACGAGCCTCATTTGTGGGGTGGGGGGAATCCCAGCATTTCCCAGCCAGGTTGTACCAGTCCCAGCTGTGGATGCTGTGAGCTGAAGGCCTTTTTTCTGATAAACATTCATAGACTTGTGCTCTTAGAAACCTTTTAATTGTTTTTGTTGCAGCTACATCCACAAACATACATAGCTGGCTGTGTCAGCCTTCTGGAACCTGGTGCTTCCTAAATTTGTGGACCACGAATCCCAGCATTCCTGGCCATTGGCTGTGCTGGCTGGAGCTGATGGAAACTGATGTCCAAAGTATTTGGAAGGCAGAGCATCGGGAAAAGTAGAACTGTGGATTTTCCTTTCACCAGACACCAATCTTTCTAGTATTTTAGAAGTCTGTACAAGTTGCCTTACAGAAATGTGCATTGCGCCCTTGTTCTCTGTTCTTCTCTCGTGACATGATAATTCTAGTGCAATAGTGTGGTCCTCTGCCAAGAAGGATTTTTGCTGAATGACAGTAAAAGTAGTGGGGTGGGAAATTGCCTTGTGGGTAATCATGAAGATCATTCTCAAAGAAGGAGTTAGGAGGCCATTTTGAATTGCTGAAGTCTTTCCAAAGTGGCTGGTGCTCCTGCTTCACACTGGGAGCAGCTATTTGTGTCTTGGAGCTTCTGAAGTGCAAAGTGAAGAACGGCTGAAGGGTGGGCCAGATGAAACATCAACACAAACAGGATGGATTGACCCTGTGACATTCCAGTCCTCTGCCTCCAATTGGCATGGCTGATTTAGATTTTTCTTACATAGTATCTTAAGGCTTGACCTATGCCCATTTATATGACAGTAAGCCCCACTGAACTCTGTGGCACTTACTTCTGTGTAGATCTTTATAGAATTGCAATGTAAGCAAAGGCAAAGCATCACGCTTTGTTAATTACATAGCATAAAGCTGATCTTCATTTTCTTTTTACTTTTAAGTAAGTGTGCAGGCCTATGATCTGGATCAGGATCACTACATGTGAGTAGGGTAGGTTTAAATCTTCTAACCCATCCACTTACCTGCTCAAGCTCAACCACCTTATATTAAATAGGTTTCTCCAATGATGTAGCACATGCACTTGTACAAATATTGGATGTGGAATGGTTCTAAGAGCCTGCTACTCTAACAGGATGCATTTAAATGCTGGTGGCAGTGCTTACGTGGCCCCACAGCCAAACTCTCAACTGCATTTCAAGTTGCTATATTGCTATGGAAAACATAGATTTTCCAGCAATCAAAAGAACATAGAGTGCTTCCATGGATATAGGAGACCCTCTTCTTCAGGAAGTTTTCCTCCAAGTAGAGAAGGACTGGACTTGGTGATGGAGGGGACAAGCCTATTGTGCTCCCTGTCTTCCCAAGTTTAGTATGCATATATTGGGAATGTTTGAAAATGCTCAGTAATCAATGTCTAGGCTCAGGGAACTAGAATGCTTTCAGTAAGGAAAGATCAGTCCAAAATTAAATTACCCCATTTATTTTAAACAACTTTAAATAAATGACTGAAAGATGTTCCTACTAGAGCCTAGGACATTTTTTGTTCCTTTTCTTATCTAAAGAAAGGTTCGCCCATTTACCATTCCAGACACATCAATAAGCAGGTGTCACAGAAATAGCACCATACATTTCTATAACCTTGAACCATTTGCAATGCAACTGTCACAACTTTCCATTTACTACAGCAACTCCTTAAATATGCATCATAGCTGATGTTAATATATTCAAGATAATAATTTAATTTTAATATCCCCATGCTTGAATTTTTAGATGATTCATTCATTCTGTCCTTTGAATGCTGCCCTTTATTTGTGTTCCCTTAACATCAAAGAGGACATTATATACTTAATCAAGCTTTTTAAAAAAATCAAAGCATTTGCCTTTTCCCATGACGTATTCAATGAAGCCCTACACATATTCACACAACCCTAGGATCACTATAATGATCTCACACCATTATAGGACTCCATTGTGTGTAAAGCACTTCTGACAAAACTCAACATATGTAAATTTTAATTTGTAAATAAAGTTTGCTGATTATAGTTAAAGTTTGCTGATTATAGTTAAAATGTTACACAGCTTTATTCAGACACAAGTCTGGACCAGTGAACCCAGTGCAATCCTGTACAAATTACTTGAGAGTAAGCACCATTTAACTCAGTGAGAGTTACTTCTTAATAAACATGTATAGAATTGCACTATGAAAGTGTGTTTTATTCCCAAGCATGATGGCCACTGTTTTAGTGTTTAGTCACTAACAAATGCATCTTTTTGTTTGTTTGTTATACAGATCTTTAATAGAGCTAAACTTTATGTATCATTTCATTTCCATTTTTTCTATATGCTATTAAAGGAAAAAGAGGGAAAGAAGCAGCAAATACCAAAACAGCCCTCTCTTGTTCTTAGCAAATAGCTATGGAACTGATTTTAGAATCATACTAATTTAATCATCTCTGTTATACAACACAGATGCTAACAGGATGTTTAAAAAATAATGTACTTTGCCCAAACACACACAGTTTTGCAAATGGTCACTAGAACCTCTGTCATACCAGTGGTGAACTTACCACAGTCATCTTCATCAGCCTGATTTCCACAGTCATCTATCCCATTGCAGTGGAGCAGCTGCGGCAAACATTTTGTGATATTCCCGCAAGGGAAGTAGCCGAGAGGACATGTAACATCAAGTCCAAAATCATGAGTTCTTGAAGCAGCATAAACAGCTATTTAAAACAATAAACAGAAACCTATTTTTCAAAAAAAGTTTCTCAATAGACTGGGTTAGAAAGTTTAATAAAACCAAATGTAACTTTCACTCCTCTTAATATATGATCTGTATTCTCGGCTGGATGTACCTTCAGGGGAGGCTTATGACTCCTGTGTGAGTGGACTCCTTATCCATAGCAACTTGTATTTTGAGCTTTATCAGAGTTATCCATGGCACTGAACTCCACCCCCAAAATAGGTTCACCAGCACAGACAACTCCTATGAAACTCAAAATAAAAGCTGCAATGGATTAGGTGCCCTTCTGACCCAGGCATCACCAGCCTCACTTGTTTATCTTGGCAGAGGATTACACTTCACTTCTTTCTTACTGGAAGCATGGTTATCCACACTGGAAGTGAGGAAACAATTGAACTGAATCACATAATGGTATGAGTAGGAAAGCTGGTGGTTTCCCACTGCTGCTACTAGTTTCACTGCCATAGCTCAGAGACAGTCTATACTTCACACGCACAAGATTTCAGGTTCAATCTCCAGCATCTCTAGGAAAGGCTGGGAAAAAATTAAATCTGAAATCCTTTGGAACTTTTGCTAATCTGTGTGAACAATCTTGAGCTAGTTGAACCTGCTTTAAGGAAGTTTTCTTTAACTCACAAAGACTTACTGCTCACCATGCACTGCTAATTCTTTCTTCTAAAAATGCATTGCAATGCTCTGAAAGCTGCCTATAGTTTTGTGATGGATATTGCACACATGTGCATCAGCAAGCAGCTGATGGAACGATTGACATGGATTTACCAGGAACACAGCTTTTGAGCTATAGATTAAAATGTTAGGGCATCAAAAAAATTAAGTGTGTGTGTGTGTGTGTGTGTGTGTGTGTGTGTGTGTGAAAGAGTTGTCCAGAACATTGTCCTGAGACCAAGTCTTATTCCCACTGTTGAGTACCTGTTACCCTATACCAGCGGTTGGCAACCTTTAACACTCAAAGAGCCATTTGGACCCGTTTCCCACACAAAAGAAAAAAACCGGGAGCTGCAAAACCCTTTTGACATCTAAAATGAAGACAGCACTGCATATATTGTTATTTATTTAGAAAATTTCTATGCTGCCCCATTTGCCGAAGCCTCGGGCAGCTCATGAAACATCAATTAAAATATAATACACTAAAAATATAAAATGAATTAACAATATAAAATAAGTCACCCTGGCCAAAGAATAAAATAAGCAAATAATATTAGCAATTAAAATGACGTTTGAATAAAAAGGTCTTTGCCTGGCGCCGAAAAACAAATAACGACGGCGCCAGGCGGACCTCTCTGGGGAGCGCATTCCATAACTTAGGCGCCACCGGAGAGAAAGCCCTCCTCCGAGTATCTACCCTCCTAATTTCCTTCACGGAGGGTTCCCGGAGAAGGGCCTCTCCCGCAGATCTCAGGGGGTGGGTGGGCGTATGTGGACGTAAGCGCTCCTTCAGGTAACCAGGACCCAAGCCGTTTAGGGCTTTATAGGTCATCACCAACACCTTGAATTGGCCCGGACTTCAATGGGAAGCCAGTGAAGCTGACGGAGGACTGGAGTCATGTGAACATAATGCCCCGTCCCCATCAGCACCTGGCAGCTTTATTTTGAACCAATTGAAGTATCCAGACCGTCTTCAAGGGTAGCCCCACATAGAGCACGTTACAGAAGTCAAGGCGGGAAGTCACCAACGCGTGTGTCACTGTCGCCAGGCAGTCGTTCTCCAGGTAGGGGCGCAGCTGATGAATCAGCCGAAGCTGAAGGAAAGCGCTCCTCACCACTGCTGTCACCTGAGCTTCCAATGAAAGCTCTGGGTCGAGGAGCACTCCCAAGCTGCGGACCTTGTCCCTAAGAGGGAGTGCAACCCCATTCAGGACTAGGTTCAATTCACACTCTCCGAAGCCCGATCCGCCAACCAACAGGACCTCCGTCTTGCCTGGATTAAGCTTCAATTTATTGGCCCTCATCCAGCTCATTACCTCGGCCAGGCACCGGTTCAGCACAGCCACTGCCTCACCTGGATTGGTGGAAAATGAGAGGTAGAGCTGGGTATCATCAGCATACTGATGATTCTGCAGCCCACACCTCCTGATGACCTCTCCCAGAGGTTTCATGTAGATGTTAAACAGGAAAGGGGACAAAATGGACCCCTGCGGTACTCCATGACATAGCTGCCATGGCGCAGAGCCATAGTCCCCCAGCACCACCTTCTGGAATCGGTCATTGAGATAGGAGTGGAACCACTGCAAAGCAGTGCCTCCAACCCCCAATCCCGCTAGCCTATCGAGAAGGATACCATGGTCGATGGTATCGAAAGCCGCTGAGAGGTCCAGAAGAATCAACAGGGACGCACTCCCCCTGTCCTTCTCCCTGCACAGGTCATCGTACAGGGCGACCAAGGCAGATTCAGTACCGTACCCGGGTCTGAAGCTGGACTGAAATGGGTCCAGATAATCAGTTTCATCCAAGAGAGCTTGGAGTTGTCCCGCCACCACCTGCTCCAACACCTTGCCCAGAAACGTGATGTTTGCCACTGGTCTATAGTTAGTGGCCATCTCTGGATCCAGTGACGCTTTCTTCAGGACCGGTCGGACTACTGCCTCCTTTAAAGGGGCAGGTACCCGACCCTCCCTCAGAGAAGCATTAACCACTTCCAAGATCCAGATCCCAATCCCATGCTTGGAATTATTTATTAACCAAGACGGGCAAGGGTCCAATAGGCAAGTGGTGGGATGTACTCGTCCAAGCACCTTGTCCACATCATCAGGCCACAATAACTGAAATTCATCCATTAATTTTGGACCAGACGGCAGCATTGGTGTCTCCCCAGAAACCTCTGAGTCACTAGTAGAGTCTAGCTTGTGATGAATCTGAGCGATTTTCTCCCTGAAATGCTTGGCAAAGTCGTCACAGTGGGCCTTCGAGGGTGGAACCAGATTTTTCTTAGGACCTGGATGAACCAGGCCTTGCACCACTTGAAAAAGCTCTGCTGGATGGCATTTTGAGGAGGCAATGGAAACGGAAATTAAATTCTTTTTCGCCACCCTCACCACCACAGCATAGGCCCGATAATGGGCTCTCAAGTGTGTTCAGTCAGATTCATCCCGTGATCTCCTCCACCTACGCTCTAGCCGTCTCCTAGCCTGCTTCATCGCCTGCAATTCAGGTGTATACCTGGGGGAAGAGTGGGCTCTGTCTGGCAGGAGAGGACGCTTAGGAGCGATCGTGTCAACAGCCCTGGTCATCTCCCCATTCCACAGTTTGACCAGAGCCTTGACAGGAGCACCCGTCTTGTCAGCCAGAAACTCCCCCAGGGCATTCAGGAATCCATCTGGATCCATCCAGCTCTGTGGGCAGACCCACACAATCGGATCTGCACCCTTACAGAGGGAAAGGCCGCTCTTGAGCACAAACCTCACCAGGAAGTGATCTGACCATGACAGGGATGTCAAACATAAATTCCTCACCCTCAGACCACCCTCTTCCTGTCCTGTCGAGAAAACCAGGTCCAGAGTGTGTCCACATTCATGGGTCAGGCCAGTGACATGTTGAGACAGCCCCATGGCCGTCATGGAGGCCATGAAGTCCTGAGCCGCCCCGGTCAGACCAGTCTCAGCATGGAGATTGAAGTCCCCCAGGACCAACATCCTGGGGATCCTCAACACCAGGTCCGAGACGATCTCCGTCAGCTCAGGCAGGGAGACTGTTGGGCAGAAGGGAGCATGGTACACCAACAGAATCCCCAATCTGTCTCGGTCGCCCAACACCAAGTAGAGGCACTCCAGCCCAAGCCTCGAAGGGACTGGAAGTCCCGTGAGGGAGATGGAGGCTCGGTAAACCAAAGCGACCCCCCCTCCCCTCCCCTCTGGGCATGAACAGTGCTGAACCAGATACCCGGGCAGGCACATTTGAGAGAGGGCGACATTCCCCCCCCCTCTCCCGCCCAGGTCTCCGTTATGCAAGCCAGGTCGGCCCCCTCATCCACAATCAAGTTATGGATGAGGGAAGATTTATTGTTGACCGACCTGGCATTGAGCAGCAGCACCGTCAGGCCCGAGGGGAGGTTGACAAGACTACCTGGAACCCTCTGGCTGGGGGCAAAACCAGAAGGAGGGACAGGTGTCAACCATCTGTCCCTCCTTCTTTTACCTTAATGCTATGTATATCTTCATTATGATTATAGTGTGTTGCATTTATGAAATCAATTAACTGCTACCGAGAAAACAATTTTTTATTTCTGCATGCAACAAAAACATTTTGAACTCTGGAAAAAAAAGATGCTGGGTTGAAGGTTACTTTCAAATAAAATACTCAGTGTCTATTTGAGTCCTCCTTGTATTTATGAAATAAAAAGCTGAACTTAAATTATTATTTTTGCTCAGATCAACCTTCCGCATCAGTTCCGAAATGGCTTTTTTTCTCTCATCTCCATCAGGATATTTTACAGCAAAGGCTGTGTGTTTATTCTGGAAATGTCTTCCAATATTCGACTTTTTGTTGTTAGCCAATTTCTCACCACATATTAAGCATACTGGTAAACCAGTCTCAACAGCAGTGAAAGCAACTGAATCTGCCCACGTACCATTAAACATTGTGTTTTCTTCCAAAACTTTTCTTTTCTCGGATTTATCCATGGTTGGCCTACTGGGGGTCCAAAAGCTCAATAAATCCCATGCCGGCGGGTCCCCCTTTCATTTAAAAAAAAAATCAGTAGCCATTGGGAGACAGACTTCTAGTTTTTGCTCACGTCAGAAAACATTGGCAGTCTACTGCAAATCTCCAAGAGAATTTTCCATTAAGTCCAGATCTATGTTTTGCCTACCCTTGGCCAAAATGGCAGATTGCTCCCAAAGTGAAAGTTGAATGTCTTGTCCTTAGTTGGCTGTTTGAACTCAGCAGCACATGAGGGTCCAGGGGCCAGATTATCAACCCCCCAAACCCACCATAGCTCATTCAGCATCACTACAGAAATTACCATCAGAAATGGGAATTGTTGCTGAAACTTGTTAGCAATTGGGTGGTGACCAAAAGGTTCCTTTTTCCTTTAAAACAAGGTGCACACCATATTTTACATATGCTCCTGGAAGCTCCCGGGGAGTAGAAATTTGACCTAAAACAAGGTGTATGGTCCCATGTACATTATTTCAAAATGAAAGCGCAGCTTTTTACAGTGGGGGCAATTTAGTGGTGGAGGCAACAGCTTGAGGGTGATGGTGGGGAAAGCAATGGGCTGTGTGATGCCTACTCCTGCTTAGACCTTGATCCCATCTCTGCCCCACTCTAGACTTTGTGACTAGCACAAGCCAAGTCATAATAAGCTCTGTCTCATTTTTCCAGCTATGAAAGAGGAATAATATTAACTTTAATGGATATGTGAAGGAGACTAGGACAATGATATACTTTGTATGCTGCAAGGACTTTATCAATGGTTAATAACATCTTATTCTATTTTAGGCATTCCAAATTGCCCTTAGTTGCCTTTATGCACTATCCATGCACACAAGACTATTGCTATTTATCCTTTGAGTTTGATCACAGTCAATATTGCTTTATTTTGGAAGCATTTGTTTATTTTTAGTAACGCTCTAGCCCAGTGGTGGTGAACCTGTGGCATGTGTGCCACAGTGGGCACACAGAGCCCTCTCTGTCAGCAAGCAAGCCATGTTGCCCCAGCATTGCCCCAGCAATCAAGCATCGGATAACAGCGTACATACAGCCCATTTGCATGCTCGGAAAGGAGTAGTGGTGCCAGGCAATGATGTCACAAGCCTCATCTCAGTAGCTGCAACTCACCAGAGCTTTCACATGGCTGGTCAGTGCACTGCCAAGGACATATATATTTGCTTGGACTGGCTGTGAGTTGTTTTTTTTTTTCTAATCTAAAACCTCAGTTTTCAGGTTTTATTGCAGTGTTGGCACTTTGCAATAAATAAGTGGGTTTGGGGTTGCATTCTGGACACTCGGTCTCTAAAATGTTCACCATCACTGGGTTAGGGTTGGAAAAATGAGGTGTCCTGGTATGATTTTGATGGTTGGAATGTGTTTAGGATGGGCGGAAATGTTGAGCAGTGCAGAAAAAGCTACTCTAGGAAGGCTTTTTCAAAATCACCCCTTTCAATGGAACTTTAGCCCTATATTAGGGTTAGGGGTGTGCACCAGGGAAGGGTTAGGGTTGGAAAAATGAGGTGTCCTGGCATGAGTATTTTAATGGTATTTTACCCCTATATTAGGGTTAGGGGAGTGCACCAGGGTAGGGTTAGGCCAGTGGTGATGAACCTATGGCACATGTGCCACAGCGGGCATGCAAAGCCCTCTCTGTTGGCATGTGAGCCAAGTCGCCCCAGCATCGCCCCAGCAGCCGAACATTGGATTACAGTATACACAGGGGCCATGCGCATGCTCAGAAAGGAGAAGCAGCGCCAGGAGATGACGTCACGAGCCGTGACTTGAGCCGTGACTCAATTGAGCATTCACATGACCAGTCATTGTGCTGCCAAGGACACACACACACACACACACACACACATATATTTGCTTGGACTGGCTGTGAGGTGTTTTTTTCTAAACCAAAACCTCAGTTTTCAGGTTTTATTGTAGTGTTGGCACTTTGCGATAAATAAGTGGATTTTGGGTTGCAGTTTGAGTACTTGGTCTCTAGAAGGTTCGCCATCACTGCTCTAGCCCCACAATGCCAGGCAGGGATTATTCTAAATCTGTATCTGGTACATTTTTCTTTGTTCATGTTTAGTCTAGAGCAGGTGCAGGGAACCCAAGTCAGATTGGGAACCTATTACATTGGAGATGGGGAGTGCGGGGTTGAGGTCTGGACTGATGATCCTGTACCTACTTTAGCGAAAAAAAAGATAAAGCTACTAGATAGCAATAAGACATATCCATTAGACACAGATTTAAAGTAATATCCATGCCTCACTGTCATTTGCTTGCAGGACTATTTAGAACTACCAAGGTGATAACGTGCCTTGCAAATTAAAATTTGGAGAATTTTTTTTCTATTCATGATATGACTAAAGTTTCTTCAGAGGCATTTTCACTTGATTATTTAAAGATGGATGGATGATGTTTCACTTTCTCCCTCATCCAGATTTTAAAAAACATAATTTCTTTTTATCCTGTTTATGAAAAAAGCAATGGGAGTTCTAACCCTCCTGAACCAAATAAATTTTCACTCATCCCAGAAATTCTAACTATACCATAGCAGATGTTTTCCATGCTGCTAGCCCTCTATGTCTTCCAGCAATTTTTGTTTTTCCTACCCCTGATCACATGCATAGTACATAGTTCAGTGTTTTGCATGCCAAAGAAAAGGCTTAATATGCAGGCATTTGAACTCTTGGTGCATTTGACCTCAATTGGCAGTGCTGCATTTGCAATGGGAGTAAGGGAGGAAAGGAACCTTCATATTTGTTCATATTTATGGTGTACATTCAGTGAAGTGGGCTTGTTTCCCCCCCTCCCTCCCTCCCTCCCAAAAATAAACTGAATCTGGGACATGTAGAAATTCTCTTTGAGGTCTTGTTTCATAATCCAGATATGCTTCTGAGACATTGCTGTGGTTCAATGCCATTGAATCAAGGGGGAAAAAATCAAGTTTGTTTCTCACTAGAAACAAATGAGCCATTTCCACACCTACTAACCAGGAGCTCCACACACATTATAGGGAAGGTAAGCCTCCAGAACCCATGAGATCACAGGTAATCTATCACAGGAAGCACTGATAGTGCAATTTAGGTATGAAGTCAGGGCTGTCCTGCCCCTGTTGGTCCTGATGTGGTCACAGGAATGACCATTTATACAACGGTGCTTCCTTGTTTCTAAAACTAACTGAATTAATAATCTGGATTTGGATAGGCAAATGCAGCTCCCTTCTGTGAGCTCTGCCCATTCTGGAAACTAGTGTTCCTACTCATTTTGGTTAAAAACACAAAAGACCCATTGTAGGATTGTTTGCTTCAGTGAGCATGTTGGCACAATAGGCTGAATGGACAAATTGGATGAAATGCTACATTAAATACACAATAGGAAGGTGTACACATCCACTCCTCTTCCTCACAGAGAGACGCCACAGCATGCTGTATTTGTGAATGATCTGTGATGAATGGGTTGCTCCCTCCACTGGTTATGTTTAGGAGAACTCAGCTATGGTCCAAGTTGTCTGTAGGCTTTTAAATGAATATGCTCTAGCTTGCATCCTTCCTACCACTGGGCAGCCACCTGTGTTGTGCCTTATCTGTTGCATCCTCTGCTTTGATTCTGTTCCTGAGGTAGCATTCCAGGGGCAACTGTAGAAATGGCACTTTGATTTTTCAAACCGCAGTTAGAATATAACTCTTACACTTTCATAATCAGCAAAAAATTGGTTCTGCTCCATAGTCTCCTTCCAGAACTCTTTTAAGCAAAGTGTTACTTAGAATTAGAAGTGAATTAGTGATTTGATCAAGCTAAGCAGGTTTGAGTCTTTCTAGAGCCTGGATGGCAGACCAGCTGTGAACTCCAAGAAAGGATATACAGTAAATAGAATAAGCACATTTGAATTATTTGTATGCTAGCATCTTTTGAATTTCAACCTAGAAGTGTATCACATCATTCTTGTTTATTTTTATTGCCTGCCTTTCTGACTTTTCAAAATAGAATGTTGCAGGAAATATAATATTTGCACATTGTGCAGACCCAGAATGATGTCTTAAATATTTGTGAGTTTGGATTTTATTTATTAGATTTCTATCCCATCCATTAAAATATTAAAACAAAAATGTTAAACTTCACAAGAAAACAGTTGCTGGTTTAAGAAATAGCCATAAGGCCTTGCACTTCTTCTGCTTGAATATTAGTTCATTTACTCTCTATGTTGATACTTGTACTTGAACATTTTCTGGAACTTGGAGGGAAAAAGACATGTTGCTCCACAAATTACTGAAGCTGGTGTATTGCAATAAAACTATGTTTGTGGCTGAATAGTTCATGCTGAATCAGATGGTGAATTGAGCTTTTAGTTGTCAAACGTGTGTACTATTAATATCATCATATTAGCAACATTTTAGCATGTCCAGATTGAGTTCACTACAATTCATGTCAGTGGGTCTATTCTAAGTAGGATTTATATGGCACTGTACCCATAGCTATCTGAGTCTAGTAAAATAATTGAAATAAATATACTGGTCAAGCCTGAATATTTAAGGATTATATACACCATCTCAGCCATTTGTAGTCCATTTAAATTTACCAAACCCTTGTCATGCCAGAGAAAAGCAGGAATTCATATAATCATGCCTCATGTTAGTCCCAGAGATCTTCAAAGGAATTACAAGTTCCTAAAACAATCTCTAATCCTCCCTTTGAAACTAGCAGAATTTTCTTGAAGCTACATAAAAGCAATCAATGAGAAACTTCACATGTGTTTCCATTTGCTTTTACCCCTCAAGGTAAAATAGTTTTTTTTAGTCCTGTGGTGAGAGCTGCAACCAACTGAGCACACTTTCAAATGGAAAATGAAAATTATACAATTCATAAGTTCTTCTAAAAAGCCAACTGTAAAGCTGTCAAAAGCCCCTACCATGCAGTGATATTTAGCTGGTCAAGAAGAGCATTGATATCTGAATGCAGCTCCAGAGTAAATCCAGAGCTGTTTTAAAGGACTGAGATCAGATCTTTTGGCTGAGATCTCAGTGTATTCATCATTAAAAAGATGCTACATATTGGCATTCTAGAGCATAACAGCTGCTGGACATATCTAATGTTTGCATTTTGAAGACATTTGGAATGTCAACATCTCAAAATACCAGGAATTCATCAGAGACGAGTCACAGACTTTTTTTTTCATTTTGTATTCACAGAGAGTAATGAAAAATTGGCTCCTAGAGTTTGCTTCCCATTTCAGTACAGAAAATAGCAAATATACTCACCATTTGCTTCAATTGCTAAGAATATGTAGAGAAAGCAATTGGATGGCATTCCTATTTTGCAGCAGAGAACTAAAGCAGCTCTGTCCCCCAGATTTCATGCAAAAACTCAGCAGTTCCTAATTCCGATTAGGCAGTCTATTTAAGAAGCTTCCCTCCCATCCCTTGCTTCCTCTCATTCTGCTTGCAATCTCCTTCTCACTGTGATCAGTAGCATAGGCATTCACCATCCAACTCAGAAAAAGACAGAGTGGGTGGGGGTGGAAAGTTTCAAAGAACAGACAGTCCCTCCTTGTTTACAGGAGGCTCCCATGTTTTGTGCCCATGACAGACTCAGATTGGGGTGAGAGTACTTAAAAATGCATGCCTTGATCAAAGCTACTTCGGTTAAAACAATCCATCATTTTGATCAATACAGCTCAGACTTTTCTTTTTTTTAACAAAACACCAATTAGGGAATGATCATGGAAGCATATGCTCATTTAACAGGGGCCTATTCTAAATGAAACAATGTTTAAATTTGCACTGATTTTCCTCTGCCTTTTGCTATAAAGGGGAAGTCAATTTACAACTGACAACTTTCTAACTTGGAAAGTGTCCATGGGCAGAACATTCTGTGGGAGAGGAAGCAACTGAGCTGAAGAACCATCTTAATGGGAAGGAATACACTATGCCAGGTCCAGCACCAATGTCATTTTTTGTCTCATTCTGGTGTCTGTGTATGCCTGGAGAACAGAAGGGCTTTGGATCTTCCACATCCACAGCTCTTCTTTCAACAATAGGACAATATACCTTTTTGTTGTCCTTTCTGATGTTGGAGCCTTGGCATTAGACAGGCACCAGATCGGGAACTTCATCTTGTGAAGCTTGATTTCTCTTTCCAGGGGTGGGGGTGGGGGGTTCTTTCTTTCTTTGGAAAGGCAGATCCAAAAATCCTAAAGTCTGTAGGACTTCCTCTAGGAAACACAGGACTGAGCCCTTAAACGCAAGTAAGTGCAATACTGAATTAATTTCATGTATAACAGAGCCAATCATTGTCTCATCTTCACAAGTGGTCAACTACAGTATGTGGGCAGGCAAAGGAATGTATCATATCCAAAAACATTACGAAGAGGAAGGTTTATGTTCAGAAATATTACAAAGCAGTCATGGTTTCTGATATTGTAAATGTAACCTTTCCCTGTGCCGTGATTTTCTTTGCTTTAGGCCCTTATCCCACAGTGCTATTGATTAATTAAAGTCTCTTGGCCCCCTGGATTTATAGGAGTTCCAAGGTATGGATAAGCCCAATAATTGATTTAATGTCTAAAGTTTTAACCACATGAATATTCTTGCTAGAGGGCTATTGTGATCAAAAGTAGCTTTTGATGTAGGAAACAAGAAACTGGCATTCTTTCTCTGCTGTTATGAGCTTCACTCATTCGGCATGAGAATACTGCTATGTGCAGGAAGAATGGAAAGTTCCATAATAAAGATGTATTCTCTGCTAGTCCCTCTGTATTAAATGCAAAGCCCTTGCACTGACATATCTGAAACTTGAGCTAGATTTTGTAGATAAATTTGAAGCTTTTCTCTTGGCTTCCATTGCAGTGCAGAACAAAATAGAATGTACGGTTCACTGGGTCAAATATTCAGATCTTTTCTTATTATGCCTAGATATGCATGGATCCTGTAACCATAGATCCACAGTTTAACTAAGCACTGTGTGAAGAAGGGAATCCTTACTTCTGTTCTGAATTTCCCACTATTTAGCTTCATTGGATGATCCTGGTGTCTAACATTATAAAGCTTAGAAACAAGCTTGATGTTTCCTGGCCAGAAACGGTATCAAAGGAAAAGCCTGCCAGGACCCTTTGCAACCTGACACTACCTCTAATTTCTTTGAGGGATTTTTCCCCTTCCTGGAATACACACAGGGTAGCAAGGAGTTAAGATGGGTTTGTTCCCTATGCTGGTTACTCCAGCATGTCAATCAGCTTTAAGCTTATGTTTTGTTTTGTTTTTAATGAGAAATCCTGTGGGTTGTATTTGATATTGGTTCTACTTAGATTACAATGAATGGGTCTTCAATTAGCCTAACAGCGGATGAAATCTTGTAGCTTTAATAGCTCTGTATGAGGCAGAAAAGAAGTGTCACTTTTCTTTTCATGGAACAGAACCAAGGATTACTTCTAGATTTGCTTTTCTCTTGTGCAATTGTCCAAAAGCTCAAGTAATTTGTTCATAAGCACTTAAGCTTGGGAGAAAAGCCTCAATAAGCCACTTGAACAACTTGCCAAGGACATTATCTGAAGCCTCAAGGGCCAAATACAGCCCCTTGAGGACTTTTAATTGGCCCCAAAGGTGTCAAATCGGAGGTCTCCATAGCTCAGCACTCTCTTTGCCTGCGCATGGGCACTTCTTGGCTCATTGCTCTCCTTTTCTCTTAAATTGGCACTCTTGAAAAAAGAAAAGAGAACCTGTTGCCCAGGCACCATTTTTATATTTTGAACTAGAACAGCTATTTTACCATTCTTCTCAGTTGCAAAAACCCTAGCCAATATTTCTTAGAATTGGCATTTAACTGATTTGAGTGTGCTTCCAAATGGCTGAATCTGAACAGTATAAATCAAGTGACAGTTATTTCCTTATTTTCTATATATCCCACCTTTCTGTCCAGAAAATTGGTATTCATGATGTACAATTAGTATTAGTATTCATTAGTATACAATCAGAAATAAAAATTAAAATAACAATAAAGCCATGCACTAAAACACAGTAAGAACATAACAATAACAGAATAAAGGCAGCACGCAACTTAACAGACCTGCTTCCATGCCAAAGGCTGCTTGACTAAAATTCTTTTTCTGTGAGTCCACACTCTTTTGGCAGTAAATGCTGCAGCCTTAGAGTGGCCAACAAGAAGGCCTTCTATCATATCACCACCAAATGCACCTCTGAAGGTTGCAGTATTGAGAGGAATGTATGCAGCAATTCCATCCTTCCCTAGTTAACATTTTTTTAGGACAGAAAGAATCATCAAGAATCCTTGGAGTGTTTTAAGTGGAAGACAATGGGCACAGCACAGTAAACCCAGGGATGGCTTCTAAGCTACTAGTGAGACAATTTTCCCTGGTCCCCATATGTCCAACAGGCAATCAGGAATACCTGGGTTTGGGGGGTTCTGAATCAACCTCTTCTTTTATTTTCCCCTGCTGGCATCCCAGGGGTCTTCTTGGGAGAATAGATTCCTTTGCAGAGCCTTCACAAGCCTTTCACGCTTACCGTGGCTTGTTGTGTTATTTTAAAAAATGTTAAGAAGAGATGATAAAAAGATGCCTGCCAAAGCAGCTTTCCTGATCTCACATGTTAGCATCCATGAGCTGTACACCTGTATTCCCAGCAGTACCTTGAAAGTGCTGCCCGTGGTTGACAACTCTTCCTTTTGAACTATTTAAAGGGATGGTCCTGAGTGCACTGTTTGTTTGATTGTTTGTTTGTACCTGACTGGCCCCACCTGTGCAAACAAGACTGGTCCGGTTAGCACAAGAGGGGGCCCTGAACCAGGGTGCCTGTTGGCAAAATTCACCTGTACTCACCTGCAGTCAGTGCTTCATCCTCCCTTGAGGAGAGGACAATCACATGTCATGAAAAGGGGCTCTTTCCCCTTTTCACTGCAAAATTACCTGCTTCCTTTGGGGGTGATGAAGTATCCCTGGTGGCCCCCCAGTTTTGAAAGTTTGCCCTCACTGATTGCCTGGAATTTCCAGTGACAGGAGAGAGGCTTTCAGATAATAGTTAAGCCTTGCATGCCCCCCAGCATTGGACCCTCCTCCAGGTTTTGCTACTCCTGAAGGTGCTACCAACTCAGTGTAGATGGCAAAGCTGAGGGCACCAGTGGAGCGTGTGATCAACTCCTTCCCACAAAACCTGGGGTTGGCAAATGGGGTGGGGTGGCCCCCAAGCACCCCTTTCAGCAGGACCTGTGGGGTTTTGTGGGGAGTCATGAGTTGTCCACATTTTGAAAAGTGAAGGTAACCCAGAGGCATGAGCATCTCCCAAATGACCCAAGGACTTGGTGTCAAAGGGTGCTTTTGAGGACCCAGCTCCACTTTGTCCCCAGTGCCTATGGCGTATGCTTTACAAGGTACTGCAGTACTGAAATTTGGCATGGACTCTTGATATTTCCCCATAAGGGTCCATGCCCTGCATTTTTGGCACTCTAAATGGAGGAACAGGGAGGAAGCTGGAGTACCATGTGGACCCCAACCTCCTTCCCTGCCTGGTTCCTGGCATGCACCACGTTCTTCTCTGACAGAATCGTTTCTGCTGCACCTGAGAGGAGGTGGGTCAGGGTCTCCCAACTCCAAGCTTGCAACTCTTATGCAGGCTAGGTCAGACATAGGGATTATGTGCTGAACTGCAGATTCTATCATCCATCACCATGGATTATGCTAGCTAGGACTGATAGGAATTGTAGTCCACTAACATCTGGGGAGCTGTATGTTCCCCATCTCTGTGCTAGGTGGTTGAGGTAAGAAAAAATGTAAAAAACAAAACAAAACAAAAAACTGGTCTGAATGTTTCAGCCATAATATCTGCATGTAAGTCTAAGATTTATGCACACCCAAACCCAGTCCTCCCCGCACACTCACAATCACAGTGCCCAGCTGTTACCCAGGTCTGTCTTGCATGCAGTTCTGTAAAAATGAACCCAAATTTTTCTTTTGGCATAGCTTCCCGTTGGTCCTTCTTGCTGGGATAGCAGAAGCAATTCTGTGTAGATGAATCAGCAAAACTGCAGAAACTGTAGTGACCTGACTGAGGTGCAAAGGAATTGAAGCATCCTAAAGATGAATTTGAGCCAGCATTCAGCAGGGCTCATCCCCAGAATTTGCTTATGTTGGAGTGAGAATACGTAGTGCAGACTATTAATGCATTTGGCTTGCTAAGCAATATTGAAGATCACAGTAACTGTGAGGTGAGACATTGTTTTCTCCTGTTCTCTAGGAATGCAGTTATTTGAAGTCTTGGTCCAAGGGAACACAATTCCCAGTGAATTTTATATATTCA